AGGAAAACTAACCAGTCAGGAGAGACTTATGGGTGGCTCAGGTGATGAGATTAGCAGATGAGTAATATAAAATAACAGAAAAATGGGAATAATGGATGAAGTGAGAGGGAATCTCAGGAAGGATTTGGGAACTCTAACAATGAACCAAATAGAAATTGTAGGACCGGAAAATATAATATTTGCAATTAAAAACTCATTGAATCATGTGAATTGATTGGATAATGTTGAAGAAAAGCTACTAAACTGAAGGAATGGTCAATAAAATTACCCAAACTGAGGGACAGAAAGAAAAAACATTAAAAATAGCTCTCAAACAACCAGGTCCCAGGGATTCAGGCCACCACAGTGGTCAACTGACTTTGGACAAAGACACCAAGATAATTTAATGGAGAAAGGAAAGTCTTTTTTTTAAGTAAATGGGGCTGGAACAACTGGGAATCCATAGGCAAAATACAGCTTGACCCTCACCTCACAGCAAACACAATAATTAAATCACAGTAGATTTTAGGCCTAGCCCTAAAAGCTAATGCTATAAAATTTCTAGGAGAAAAATGGAGGAGAGTATCTTTGAGACCTTGGTGTAGGCAAACATTTCTTAGATAGTGTACACTAATCATCAAGTACAAAATTGATAAATTGGATTTCATCAAAATTAAACATTCCTGCTTATTTAAAAATTCGATTATGAAAATGAAAAACAAGCCACAGTCCAGGAGAACATATCCAGAATGCATAGATGTGACAAAGCACTTCTATCCAGAATATATAAAGACCTCCTACAAATCAATAAGAAAAATATAGATAAGTCCTTTAAATGATAGGCAAGAATTGTGGAAGACAGTATGGAAGTTTATCAGAAAATTAAAAATAGAACTACCCTGTGATTGAGGAGTTGCACTACTGGGTATTTACCCCCAAAATATGAAGACAATAATTCAAAGGGATACATGCACCCCTATGTTTATTGCAGCATTATTTACAATAGCTAAACTATGGAAGCGGCCCAGTGTCCATGGATAGATGAATGGATAAAGTAGATGTGGTATATACATACAATGGAATATTATTCAGCCATTAAAAAAGAATGAAATCTTGCCATTTGCGATAACATGGATGGAGCTAGAGAGTATAATGCTAAGTGAAATAGGTCAGTCAGAGAAAGACAAATACTGTATGATTTCACTCATATGTGGAATTTAAGAAACAAAACAAATGAGCAAAGGAAAAAAATAAAAGAGAGACAAACCAAGAAACAGACTCTTAACTCTAGAGAACACACTGATGGTTACCGGAGGGGAGGTGGGTGGAGGGATGGGTGAAAGAGGAGATGGGGATTAAAGAGTATACTTATCTCGATGAAAAAACTAAAATGAAATGATTAAAATAAATAAATAAAAAATGGGAAAGAGATTTGTAGGCTTACACAGACCCCTTGTATAAGGACACACACAAATGCCCAAAAACTAACTGGAGAGGTGCTCAGCATCCTTATCATCAAGGATATGCGAACTAAAACAGAGTCACACTCCACTTCACACCTGCTGGAATGTCTGCAGTGGAAAAGACTGGCAAGAGCAGGTGTGGCTGAGGATGTCGAGCACATGGGACTCGCAGACATTGTTGGTGGGAGGGTAAATTGTGTAGCCACTTTGGAATGCTGTTCTTAGAAGCATAACCCACCTTGTGATCTGGTCACGCAACTCTCGGTGTTTACCCAAGGGAAGTGAAAACATGTCCACAAGAAGATGTGTACGAGAATATTCCTAGTAGTCAAAGCTGAAAACCATCCCAGTGTCCATCAACACGGGAATGGATAAGCACGTTGTAGGGACAGAGGTGGTACACTCAGCAGCAGAAGCTCACAAAGCGTATAGACAGTACGGTGGATGAATCTCTGAAACACTATGTTGAGTGAAAGAAGCCAGACACGAAACACTGACCGATTCCATTTCTATGAAATTCTAAACCAGGCAACACTACACTATGGTGATACAAGTCAGAGTAGTGATTGCTTTCTGCGGGGGAGAGGGTGGGATGACTACAGAGCGGCACGAGGGAACTTTTGGGGGTGATGGCACTGTTGTGGACCTGCAGTGAGGGGGCTGCTGCATAGGGTGACCAACCATCCAGGTTCATGGGGAGTAGGGGCTTCCCGAGATGTCAGACTTTCAGTTTTAAAACAGGGAGAATCCCAGAAAAGCTGAAACCAGTTGGTCCCTCCACATGACACGCAGGGATGCATTTGTCATAAAAGTTTTGCATGCACACCTACCTGCATGTGGAGGGACATCTACACTTAAAACCCATGTATCTTGTTACGTGTAAGTTATACTTCAATACAAAAGAGTGTTTTAGGGGAGGCTGGGTGGCTCAGTCGGTTAAGCCTCCCACTCTCGGTTCCAGCTCAGGTCAGGATCTTGGGATCCTGGGATCGAGCCCCCGGGAGCTCGGTGCGATCAGCTCGGAGTTGGCTTCTCTGCCTCCCTCTCCCTCTGCCCCTCCCCCCACGCACTCTCTAAACTAAATAGATGAATTAAAAAAAAAAAAAAGTGTTTTAAAAGGGAAAACAACCAGACTAATGAAAACAGAAGCCGACCACAGAAGAGAGCATTTGCCTTTTAGGCATCAAATCAAACTCAGTTTTAATGTAATGGCTTGGAAGGGACCATAACTTAAGGGGCTGCCCAGCACATCACCTGTATACATCGCTTCCTCCAGGACATGGGGATGTTGGATAAACAAAGGGACAGTTGGTGTTCAGCGTATTCGATACCTGTCTTTTGGGAGAGTTTAGCAGGTTGGGATAGTTCCATCAACTTCCTTCCTATCATTTGTTGTGGGGTCTCAGATACTCCCAGCATACAGTTTTCCTGCAGAAGGACCCCTGGTAACATCAGGACCCCAAGATAAGCAGGTGATTTGCCCACAGTGCAGGTTGGCTTGTTTTGCTTGCGGTGAAAAGAATCTCGAAGCTCACCCCCGCCCCCACCCAACCCCCGGCCAATTAATCCCTGTAAGCTTTTCCAGACTCAGGCAGGCCAGGGTATTCTGGGCTGTATTTGGATTTGCTGTTGTTTTCTGTTTGGTACTTGCCTGGGTGACCTTAGGTGCAGGCTGGTCCCTGTGTGATCCGGTGGTTTGCATACATGCCCGCACATCTGGGGACGCGTTCTGAGGGGGGATGTCACAGTGCCCTTCCCTGGCTTACATGTAGCAGTTAGCTAACCCAGCCTTTCCCCCTCTAAGTATCACTGTATTTCCCAGCAAAACACTGTCCTTATCAATTACTCACCCCCAATCCTCCAAAGCAGAAATTGAGCACAGATGTGTCAGATCTTTTTCATTATTATGGGAAGATGATTGCCATATTTTTGGCAGTGGCTTTTAAGAGCACTCCGTGTCCTCAATTTGCCAATTTTTAAACCGTACAAACATTTCACCAGGTTTTTGTTATGCTGAATAATGCTCTGAGGACCTTCTCCTGGAAAAAAAAAAAAAATCACTGGAAATTTCTGCACTTGAAGATAGCACTGACCAGTTGAAAACGTTCTGGAGGGGCCCACACTCTGCCTGGTTTCTCTCTCAGCTGTAACAGTGCTCGGGGCCTGGGGCCAAGGCGAAGCCTCCTTGCCAGCACCCAATCTATTTTAGGAACATAATAGAAAAATAGTTTGCCACTTACTCATTTGCATCCTGTGCTCAAGGTGAATTCTTTATATCCATCTCCCCAGACAAAGAACAGTTTATAACATTTGCTACAAGCAGTTTAAAAAATTCAGCTTTGTTTCAAGCAGAACAAAGATTATATAGTTTTCTTCCTCAGACACATTTTTCTTACTCACAGTAAAATGTAATCACAGTGCAAGATAGGATCCTTGGAATGATCAACTGAAATAATCCCCTCCCCCCCGCCACACACACCCTGCAGACTGCCTGGCGGAGTCCTGCACTCGTATATATGCAACGAAACACCTACTGTATGCAGTGTGACCTCAGAAGAGAAGGGAAGGGAGACCCAGGTCCTGTTCTCAGTGGGCCTCAAGGGAGCAAAAGGAGCCAAAGCATGAGTCAAGTACAGAACCACCCTTCTTCAATGGAGCTTCTCCCTGGCAAATCAGGAAAGAGCACCTGGTTCATGGATGGATATGATTTTTATCCACAGGAAGAGACAGAAGCACAGGAAAGGCCAGGCAGGGAAGCTGGGCACAGAACCCTCGCTGTTCCATGGGCCTCGCGGCCATGATTTCACTGCCCTAAGAACAAAATGTTAGACCGTGAAGGGTAGGAGGTTATGCCACCCCAGAATGTGTCTCTTTGGCATGAGGGTTATTCGGAGCTGATTATTTTAAGAAACAGTAGACACAGGAGAAGCTCAGAATGTAGAGTAGCAGTCGCTCTTTTGTAAGAGAAATTTGCATGTACAGAGGCAGCTCTGGGTGCGGGGGTGTCTCCCTCTCCACCAGAGGGGAAGTTGACTCTAAACCACAAGGAACTCTGATCAGTGGAGAAGGTGCCACTCAAATTTGCACAACCTTATCCTTGCTTACTGTGCTTTTCCTGCTGACCTCCCCATAACTGGACGCCCACTCTGCCTTTTGTCTTTGGCGGAAGATGGAATTTTAGCTAGTGCCTTGGATCACCTGGGGAGTTACTCATTTTTTTCTGGTTATCTCCCATGTGTGCGTGAAGTGCACATGTTAATAAACTTCTGTTTGTTTGTCTCTTCGTTACTTTGTATTTTATTACGGGGCTCTCAGCCAAGAACTCAGAAGGGTAGAGGGAAAATTATTGTTTCTCCCCCACAACTGTCTCTGTGTCTGCTCCAGGAACACCAGTCCTGTCATTCTGAGAAAGGCACTCTGGATCCTTGCTCAGCACCAGAACTTAGCTATTGACAAAAGCCTCTGGCTGCCCTGATAGGGCAGAGAGGAGACACCGTTCCCAAGAGGAAGGAGGGTCTCTGGCCTTGGGGAGGAGAGTGGCGGTGGGAAGGGCAGGGACTGGGCTGGGGAAGGAGGGCCACCCTCCAGAACAAGCCCAGAGAAGGGGGCACTTTAAGAGGTGTCTGAGAGAGGAGAGCAAAGAAGAGACAGTCCAGGTCACATATCCGCAGGTAAGCTTGAGTGCACCCCTGTTTGTATGTGTGCATGCGTGCATGTGTGTTCGAGCAGAGTACGTCATTAACTTTCTGCTTCCCAGTCTTGGGCAAGAACTTGCTTTTGTCTTTCTGGGTGGTTGATGAATGCATTGTGGGGGAAACCATCAACATGCAGGATACTTGAATTATTTCAGTTCCTAAAGGAAAGGTGTCTTTCATTCCTTCACTCACATGGCCATTTAACTCTGTGCTAGGCCTTCTTTGGGTGGGAAGCCCAACTTCTTGTTTTTTTCATTTACCCACCATGCACTTGTTCACTCACCAATTCAATAAATATTTACTGATGGTCCTCCGGGAACAAGGCAGGTGGGTAACCTCCTTTGGTGGAGTCCAAAGGGAAGCAAAGCCTTTTCCTGCATACTTGAAGATGCTCTTTCTCACTATTCTTTTTTTTTTCTTTCTGAGAGAGAGAGCATGAGCGAGTGAGGGAGGGAGGGGGGAGGGGAAAGGGAGAGAATCTTAAGCAGATCTCACAACCCTGAGATCATGACCTGAGCTGAAATCAGGAGTCCAATGCTTCAACTGACTGAGCTGCCCAGACGCCCCTCCCCCCCACTATTGATGGTAGCACATCTGGGGATTTTACTGTTGCCAGTCCTGGTGTAAAGAGCCTTCTGCTGTGGAATCTTACCGCAGCCTCTGCTTCCAGTTCTGCCCCCGGGAGGGTGCTTCTGCATCCTGCCATGTTCTGGGGAGGACAACCGTCTACTTAGGAGAAGAAGCCTTCACAGCAAACCCAGAGAGGAAGGAGACATGGAAGCAGATCACATACCTGCCTTCCCTTGCCTGCTTCCAAACTGGCATTTCTTCCAGTGCATCTCCTGCATTTCTGGGTTGGGGACGTGGGCACTGAGTGCTTTTGGTGATTCGGGTTGTCCTTTATGCTCCCAGAGGCTCATCATACACTATAATGGCCACATTTATTCTATTGCTGGTGTGAATAATTTAATTTATAGTACTCTAATTTTTTGAAGTTTTCTTTGGCCTTCTCAGTACACAGTAGGCTCCCGGGGTCATTTCTTTGTGGCTCCAAGCTCTCTGGCACAGTTCCGGGGGCACGAGAAGGTTTTTGATAAATACTTAATGAGGGATAAGTTTTGAGATCTCTTATGCAAGAAGAATGTTGTGCTCACTCCATTCTGTGTTGGTCAGACTGCTTTTGGGGGTTTGGTCTAGTTCTGTGAGTAAATTTATGTGGGGTATTGACGAAGTGTCCAGAAGGGCAACTGGGGGAGGGGGATTTGGCGATGTGAAGAAGCTGAGCAGAGTGAAGATTGTGAAGGCCGAGTAGCAGCTATGGGTGCAGGTCGCTAATGCAAAATGAGGAAGGATTTTCTCAGTGTTAGACCCTAAGGGGCACAAGGAGCCTCTGGGCAGAAGGCACTGTCCAAGAGAGGCCCAAGGAGGGGCTAGCATCAGGTCGGGTGGTATCCTCCCACCTGTGTTTCCTTACCACTAGTTCCAGGCATAATAATAAGCAGTTCATGAAAAATGCACTTAGGATCCAGCAACTTTGGGAAATGCTGGTTTAAATCAGGTTAAAGCACCCCCACGGGACTTCTCAGTCTCCTCTAAGTGCAAATTGTGGGCATTGACTCTCCAAGAAGGGATTGCATGGAATGGTCATTCTAAACACAACTGGCCACAGAGCCCTTGTCCTGGAATCATATCACACAGGTCTAGAATACACAGAGCCCACTTTTGGAGATAAGAGTATGGGTCTGTCGGACCAGACATGGGTCAAGGACTTTTCCATTTGCCAGACTGCAGCAGAGTGACTCAGCCACCAAGCTGGGTGCCCTACTTAGAGCTTTCTGTAGCTGCCTTAGTCCATCCGGGCTGCTATCGTAGAATGCCATGGATGGGGTGGCTTACAAACAACAGATCTTTATTTCTCACAGTTCTGGAGGCTACCAAGTCCAAGATCAAGGTGCTGGCAGATTTGGTGTCCAGTGGAGGCCCACTTCCCGGTTCAGGGACTTGCTGTGTCCTCACATGGTGAAAGGGAGGAGAGATCTCTCCGGGGTTCCTTGTACAAGGGCACTAATCCTACTCATGACAATTCTGCCCTCATAGCCTACTCCCCTGCTAAAGGCCCCACCTCCTAATACCATCAGAGAAGGGTGGGGGTGGGGTGGATGGTGGGCTTAGGTTTCAGCAGGTGGATTTTGCAGGGACACATCAGGGGTTTCAGCACAGCCATCGATGTCTTTCCTCTCTGGAATCAGAATGCATTTTAGGTACATTTGCCCTGATAAATTGAAACAATATAAAACCAGATTGGTTGTCACGTTTTAGAGTTTGTGGGCCATGCACAGCATGAGTAATAATTATTACGTGATCATCGTTAAAGTAAAGCCATCACTCTGGGGGTTGTCTGCCCTGCTCCAAGGAACCCCCTTTCTCTTTTTTTTTTTTTTAAGGAACCTCCTTTCTGCTCAGATGTTTGTTCATGTTCATGTTTGTTCATGTTCATCGACTGGACAGTCAATGGGCCATGGGTATGTGAGTTTGGGGTGGGGACAGAGTGACTGACAGCCAGGCAGGGCTGATCCCTCATCCATCCCAGAGCTGAGGGTTGCTGTGAGCAAGGAGAGGTAGAGAAGCAGGTTCCAGGCTCGCTGTCCTGGGCTTCAAAGAGCAACCTCAGGAGATGGCTAATAACATCCCTTCTATTCCTGGTAGCTTGAGTTAATTTAGTAACTTGCCGCTAAAAGAATGTTTTCAAAATACACTGGAGACTGCCAGGGAGCATTGGTCCCCTGCCCCTCCCTGGCTTCCGGTGGTTTGCTGTAATCTTTGGCATTCTCTGGCTTGTAGAAGCATCCCCTCCATCTTGGCCTAACTTCCCCTTCTTGTAAGGACACCTGTCACACTGGATTAGGTCCCACTGTGATGACCTCACTTCAGCCTGATGACCACTGTTTGCCTCTATGTCCAAATGAGGTCTCATGCTGAGGTACTGGGCATTAGAATTTCAACATATGAATTCTGGGGGGACACAATCCAACTCATAAGACCTTGGATGCCATAAATATTCATGAGAAGGTCAGTCAACGTGCTTTCCAGTAGGTCTGTCTCTGTGGGACCTGGGGCAGGTCTCTGACTTCTCTGAGCTTCAGTTCTTGTACTTATAAAAGATGAATAAAGCCAGGCTTAGGCCACGGGAGGTTGTGAGCAGTCTAAGATTGGGTAGGTACCAGCCCCAGCCCAGAGCCTGGAATGACATGAAGCAGTTGTGGGGGGGTGGGGTGCGGGGGTGGGTGCGGATCTTGGCTCTGGGAGGAAGGGACTTACTCTGGTTGAGATCCGTGTTGATATACTTTCCTCTGAGGGCCTCCCCATTGTGCTCAGGGTAAGGCAGCTAGAACTGATAAGTCTGAGGAGTCAGAAAATAAAGTTCAAGCTGCCAGACTGGCTACAAAATAAGGGGCAACATCTTAGTTTACTGAGAGTTTTTGTCATGGAAGTGTGTTGGAGTTTGTAAATGCTTCTTCTGCATCTACTGACATGATCATGTGATTTTTCTTTTTCAGCCTCTTAATGTAAAGGAATACATTAACTGATTTTTGAATGTTGAACTATCGTTGCATACCTGGGATAAATCTCCCTTGGTTGTGGTTGAATGACTCTTTTTATAAATTGTTGGATTTGATTTGATAATATTTGTTGAGAATTTTTACTTCTGTTCATAAAAGATATTAGTCTCTAGTTTTCTTATAATGTCTTTGCTTTTGGTATTAGGGTAAAGCTGGCCTCATAGAAAGAGTTAAGAAGTAGTCCCTCTACTTCTGTTCTCTGAAATAGATTGTAGAGAATTGGTATGATTTCTTCTTTAAATGTTTGCTAGAATTCACTGGTGAACCCATCTGGACCTGCTCCTTTCTGTTTTGGAAGATTATTAATTATTGATTCAATTGCTTTGATAGGTCTAAGCTTTTTGAAATGATTTCTTCTTGTGTGAGTTTTGGCAAATTGTGTCTTCCCAGGAATTGGTCCATCTCATCTAGGTCATTACATTTGTGGGCATAGAGCTGTTCATAGTATTCCTTCATTATCTTTTTATTGTCCGTGGCCCTGTAGTGATGTCCCTTTCTTCATTTCCAATATCAATAATTTGTTTCCTCTCTTTTTTCTTAGCCTGGCTTATTAGTTTATTGATCTTCTCAAAGAACCAGCTTTTGGTTTCTTTGATTTTCTCTATTGATTTCCTCTTTTCAATTTCATTGATGTCTCCTCTAATTCTTAGTATTTCTTTTCTCCTGTTTACTTTGGATTTAATTTGTTCTTTTTTTTTCTAGTTTCCACAGGTGGAAGCTTAGATTATTGATTTTAGATCTTTCTCCTTTTCGAATTATGTGCATTCACCGCTATTTCCCTCTGAGCACTATTTTTGCTGAATCTGGCAAATTTTGATTGAGTGTATTTTAATTTTCGTTTAGTTCAAGACATTTTTAATTTTCCCTTTAGATTTCTTCTTTGCCTCACGTGTTATTTGGAAGCATATTGTTTAATCTCCATGTATTTGGGGATTTTCCAGTTATCTTTCTGTTACTGATTTCTAGGTTAATTTTGTTGAGCTGAGAGCAGACACTGTATGATTTCTATTCTTTTAAGTTTGTGAAGGTGTGTTTTATGGCTCAGAATGTGGTCTATCTTGGTGAATGTTCCATGTGAGCTTGAGAAGAATGTGTATTCTGCTTTTGTTGGGTGGAGGGATGGAATCTTAAAGAGAAGGAAACCACAGAGGAGAGAGCCCCCAAATACTGCATGTTGACTGTCCCCAAATCCTTAGCTGACCTCTCAACAGTGCACACACAGGTAAGACTTTGAGGAGCCCGTAGGGTGTGAAGAGCTGACAGAGCCTCAGCTTCTGCCCACTGTAGGAGAGACAGAGTTTGAAGTTTAAGTTCTGCCAAGTAGAGGAGCTTGGTAGACCCCTCAGGCTTTCCACT